TATATACTGTATATATGCATACATTACAAGAGCTTGTGGTCCTAATAACAAATTCAGTTTTGAATTTGAGATTTTAATACCACTAATACAGGCATTAAGAGCAGATAGGGCCTATATATTTTTTATTTATTTGTATATTTTTGTTTTTGTTGGCGGCAGTATATGAATTTTCTCCAATCTGGTCAATAGATTCCAGCCTCTTTAAAAACAGTTCCCCTTCTAGGGAACTCAGCACTGCGCCCTCTAGGGGGCACAATGGGGAATGCAGCCTGCATGACCGGTGTCTGAAGCACGTGTGAAACAACGCCAATCTATTGGCCCACCTGGCCCATGACGTCATAGGCGGGATGCCCCGGAAGTATAAAAGGGCACCTACTGAATACGTCATCATCTTTGCTGTCTTCAGGAGCCGTCGGAAGTGTGTGTGAGATTAGTAGACAGCCCACTCTTGTTGTCTGGGTAGTTTCAGTCTGGTAACCTTTCCTGGTTACATAGTTATCTGAGGATATCTATGTTCTAGCTCAGTGACTGCTCCCCTTCTTATGGTATTTAAGTAGTGGTCTCCTTGAGCCCTTGCCTAGACAGTGCAGTATCTCCCCTGCTAGGGTTGTAAGTAGATAGCCCACTCTCTGTGGTCTGGGCAGTTCTGCAGGAAGGCTATCTAGGCTAGCTGTGTATTGTCTTCTGTGGGACTGACACAGTTTTGGGACCTCCTTAATATAGCCATCTGAGGGTGGTTATGTTCCAGCCATTATTTTGGCAGGACGGGCTTACTGGCATACAGCTATATGTGGCTAGCTGTGTTCTACTGCAATTGCGGTGAGCCCTCTCATGGAGTGGTCCCCTTTCCTAGAACCTAGCTATCTGAGGATAGCTATGTGTTAGCTCAGTGTTTGCTCCCCTGCTTAGGGTTTTAAGTAGCGGTCTTTTGAGCCCATACCTAAACAGTGTTGTCTCCCCTCTTTGGGTCGAAAGTACACAGCCCACTCTTGTGGTCTGGGTAGTTTTCAGTCTGTCCCCCTTCTGGTTGCCCTTCCTAGGTACATAGCTATCTGAGGATATATATGTGCTAGCTCAGTGACTGCTCCCCTTCTTAGGGTTTTTAAGTAGTGGTCTCTTTGAGCTCTTGCCTAGACAGTGCTATCTCCCCTGCTATGGTAGTAAGTAGATAGCCCACTCTCTGTGGTCTGAGCAGCTCTGTAGGAAGATTATCTAGGCTATGTTATTCTGGTCCACAAGCCTTCATAAGACCTTAGGGACATAGCTATCTGAGGATAGCTGTGTTCTTGCTCAGCAGCTACTCTCTTTACCTGCAATCTGTATGTAGCGATCTCTAGCTCCTCTAGAGGCTTTCTAGTTAGCCTCTTCAGTGGTCTTGTGTATCCAGGATAGTTCTGCTTAAAATAGCATAACTATCTCAGGATAGCTGTGCTCTTAACTTGGGTGGGATGTTCCCCTTGATCTATTCGGGTTCCCCCGTTTCTGCCAAGTTGCGTGAGCGACCCGTGGCGTCAGTGGCATGGCCCCTTTCTTAGGAAAGGCTTGGTGTATGACGCTGCGCCCCCTTGCCATGCCTTCGGCCTGCCTATCTACGTCTCCTTCAGACAGCTAAAGTGAATGATGTATTCAGCAGGTGCCCTTTTATACTTCTGAGCATCCCGCCTATGATGTCATGGGCCAGGTGGGCCAATAGATTGGTGTTGTTTCACACGTGCTTCAGACACCGGTCATGCAGGCTGCATTCCCCAATGTGCCCCCTAGGGGGCGCAGCGCCTCGTTCCCCCTCGGGGAACCATGGTTACATGTGTGGGCGCAGCGTCTCATTCCCTCTCGGGGAACCATGGTTACATTCGTAGCCCCAGACGTTTAAACTTTTCCAGCCTGGTGTGCTTCAGCAACTTTTTTGAGAAGTCCTCAGTAATCTCTTTTGATGGAAATTTTGCATGGTGAGGACCAGTCTTTAAGCAATTATTATCAGTCTAGGTTTAATAGAAAGATTTGTGTATTGTTTGTTTATTTTGATTCTCTTTATCTAGTTATAGGAATTAGATGAATATTTGATCACAAAGCACTTCAAATGTATGCAGAATGGGCTCATAACATTTCTATTGCTATAGTATTTATTGTATTATATAAAAATTTGTTTTTTTGTTGTTGTTGTTTTGTTTTGTTTTTTTCCTCACACTGTTTTCTTCAAACCCTACTGTGAAATGTTTTACAGGGTCAAAGAGGAGATGCTGGTGAAAGAGGAATAGATGTAAGTTAAAATTTACTGTAATAATAAACTTGGTGTTTATATGTTGCTGGACTGTCAAATTAAAATATATTGTTTACAGCTAGTTGTGGTTTACTGGAAAAATATCGCTAGAGCTAAAGATTAGTATTTTGGTAGAAATATATAGGGTTAAGGGATGTTTTTTTATTTTTTTTATTTTTTCCTTAAAGGGGTCATATGATGCTTTTTTAAAGATCATTATTGTGTGTATTTAGTATAACAGAATATGTTGACATGCTTTAATGTTAAAAAAACACATTATTTTTCAAATACTGTACATTATTGTAGGTCCTCTATGCCCCGCCTCTCTCAAACGCTTCGTTTTCTACAAAGTCCCTCCTTCCGACAAGCGCAGTCTGCTCTGATTGGCCAGCTGACCCAGTGCATCGTGATTGGCCGAACACTGCAAGCACTCGTCAGAAATGTAACGCCCCTTACCATAATCGCGAGCTTCATCTTTCAAAATAAATGTAAAGACAGTAAATAATGTCATTAGTTTTACCATCAGTTCAAGCCCGAAAGGGGAACAGAGTCGCGTGACAGACACAGTGATGAAGCTGGTATGTTTGCAGTACACAAGCCACGGTTAAGACAGCTGACTACTGTGATGTGACCCTGTCTCTCTCTCTCTCTCTCTCTCTCTCTCTCTCTCTCTCTCTCTCTCTCTCTCTCTCTCTCTCTCTCTCTCTCTCTCTCTCTCTCTCTCTCTCTCTCTCTCTCTCTCTCTCTCTCTCTCTCTCTCTCTCTCTCTCTCTCTC